CAGCTAGGAGACGCTTATTATCAACCACGCTACGCGAAAAATCAGACTCCACGGGTTTTCCGGTCCTACGACCCAAATCAGTCCCCCGGTCAATTTCTATTATACTGGATTGCAGTTGCCTTGTTTCATGTAAGATCGAGGTGGGAGAATGCAATTGACTTGTTAGACTCTGAAATAAAATCTCCGGTATTTTCTCGTACCCAATTTGCCCGTTACTTCCTCTGACTTTCTTTTCAGTCCGATGTCGTATTCATGGAGGACAGAAGCGGTTTGTATATTCACATCCTGTGATATATAAGAGATTTAGACTAATTGATCGCAGATCTAATGGCCGACGATCCTCAATTTTCTCTGTCCAAAACATATTTCTGGGCTCTGCAAACATACAAGTTATTTGAAGTACGGATTAGTATCAGCTACTCCTTAAATTTCCAAAGAACTAACAGTTTGTAGCGAACTCTGGAAGAAACTATTGCCACGTGGGAAAATTTCAAAAAGTATTCACTTCCGAAGATACAGGATGGTAGTATCAGCGCTGAAGACTGGGATGCTGGGGTCGGAAGTATTGACCAGGCAATCGACCATCTCAAGCCCAAAATAGAACGAATCAGGCGAAGCATACAGGACGTGAAGGATCTTAGGGAAGGGGTAAGTCTCTGTGTGCTCGAGGTCATCTTAATTAGAAACATGCATGTCTGTACCTAAGCATACCCTCAGCTACTGACTTATTCAGCTACAATCAACCGCTGCTGTTTTCGATAGCCGCATTGCAGTTCGGCAGGGAGAAAATATCCGCCTGTTGACCTATATCACCTTGCTCTTTCTCCCCCTTTCGTTCGGCACGGTAAGCACACTGCTGCTTTCTTCCCTTCCTCCTGTGATTTTAGATCTAATCCAAATCTACAATCCCAGGGCATCTTCAGCATGCAAATAATCGAACCAAATCCCACAACGATCAATGCTTTCGCGATTGCATTCCCAATAATCACCATCGTCTCCGCCCTCCTAATCTTCAATCTCAACAACCTGACTACCGCCTTCGACACTGTAGTCCGTAATACCACATCCGTGCTGCTAAGGAAAATGAAGCTGCATAGCCGCAGTGATTGGAAATCCAGAGCCCAGGCATTACAGCAGGATAATATAATGGCCGAACCCCCAGTCCGGAAAGCCTCTAAACAAAGCAGTCACTGGGTATATATGTTGTTTTTAATCGAAGCAGCTCTTGTCCTGTTACCCGTGTCAGAGTTGAAAGCAGCACTTTGTTGCTACGGGCTATTCGATTCCGAGAGCGACAGTGACAGTGACCTTGATGACTATGACTCTGAAGGCGAGGCTGATACCGAGAAGCCCCGTAACGAGAGGCAGAAAGAAGTCCAACGGAAAGTGAAGCGCACAGCACGACAAGCAGAGGAACAGGAACGAAGGAATCTCGAAAGGGAGAACGGAGCACTCTGGGCAATTTCCAATCGCATTTATCGAAGCAGCGTCCACCTCGTGCATGGCCTAATTTGGACCATCTTCACATTGCTCAGAGCCATTCTCCTGCCAGTCTGGATTATCCTACTCCTTATCGAATACATCCTCCTATCCACTGCTCTTCTCCTTAACCAATATGGCCATCATACCCCTAAATCCAACACCTCAGAATCCCACAAACACACTTCATCCCCATCCCCAACCCCAACCCCTTTGCACCAAGCCTCTAAAATCCTCTGCCTAAACACCCTCACCCCCCCAAACCTCCGCCACCATTTCCGCGCCCACTTCCACCCTCACCCCCCCAGCCTCCCAACCACCCCCTTCTTCTCCTCACCCGAAGCACCATCCGAAGCACCACCCAAACCACCACCCCCCAACCCATCCCAACCCCAAAACAACAAAGAAAACACCCCACCAAAAACCAACCCGGCGGTCCGCACACTTCCTTCTCCCTCCTCCGACCCAACGCAAACATCCATAGAAGAACCCCCACCCGCCCGCGCGCAATTCGAACTCTCCGTATTCCCGCGCCAGCCGCAGTCGTCATCATCAGCATCGGACACACGGGCGCGCTCGCCGATACGGACGCGTTTTGCGCGAGCGAGTAATTTTGCGAGGTTTGGTGGTGGGGTGATTATGGGGGATTTTGTTGAGGGTGAGGAACCGGAGGTGGAGACGGGGATGGGGACGAGGCGGGAGGAGGGGAAGGGGGGATGATATGATAGGTTGTACTGTACATAATGTAATGGTTAATGATAATGGTGATAATTTGTCAGGTTTATGTTCTGTGTGCACGATTTAACTACTTTTTTTTTTCAAAATGAGTCGAAATGATACGGCAGGGAAATGCTGGAAGGTGTGATATAAGAGTTGGTTGATAAAATAAACCTATGTAGTTCAATTTCCCATCGTTATTCTACGTTATGTATACGTATATTAATCATCTGGTAAGTAACCAATATCCAGCCAGCACTCCCCAACTGAAGAAATTACTTGCAATTTCATATACAATATTCGAAAGCGAGAAAGAAAGGGGGAGGAATGCAAAGTTTAACAAAAAGATGGCAATATATGTATATATCGAAAGACAATCGTGTTAAGAAATAGCCAGTTGCAATTACAGGGTATTCAGGGGAAAAGATATTAAACCAAAAGAAACCAAATACAAAAAAAGGTCGATGCCAGAACAGAAATATCACAGTTTTGTACGTTCCAAGATATAAACATTCCTAGACATCTTCCGGGTTCCGAAAAATTTAGAGAGGCAGTCCCAGCGCAAATAACAGGCGCAAAGAAGCGAACGAAAAACGAGATTTACCGTCTCCGTCTCCGCCTCCGTCGAAGTTCCCACTCATCATCTTCTGGGGAGTTTTCATCTCGCAACGGATCGTCATGGCGCGCATATTCATCCGGAAGCCATGAATCATCTTCCCCTTCCTGTCCTTCCGGAGAGAGAGCATCACCGCCAGGGGTAGATTTCTCCGTCGCGGGACGTTGAAAATCAGCCTCCCAATTCATCTCCTCGGCGTCCGGTCCGAACAGGAACCTGCCAAATGTCATAATGGCATTAAACAACTCCTGTCCGGTCGGGATGATGTTTTCCCGGGGCAGAAGGAAGCCATAGCTACCTTTATCACGTAGCTTGATCTGGTATGAGTATTTGACGTGCAGATCGTGGTAGAACCAATCAAGGGCGCTTCCTCCCATGCTCTCCATTCGAGGATACGTGTTTGACTTGCGCTGCTTCTTGTGGGTTGCCACGAGTCCCTCGCAGGCGGAGCTCACGTCGTAGGCTTCTCTGTTCGTCCGGCGAATGGCTTTTGCGATTCCCATGGCCAACTCTTCGAGGTTCTCCAGGGTAGGCGGAACGGGTGAGCAGGAATAGGAGTATGGATACAGGATTTGCTGAGAGTACGAGTGGAGGTCCAAGTATCCGACAAATTCAACATTGCTTTGTTCTGTTTGGTTCCTCGCCCATTCTGCAAAACGATTGGCCTCAACACCGGCAAACGGGCCATCTCCAGCATAGCTCTCAGAGCAAGGGTTATCAGCGGTAGCGCCACCATCCCATTCGAAACCCCATGTCCGGTCCAAATCTATGCCCGGGCAAAATGGTAAGCTGGTTTCCTGGCGGTTTTTCCGCCACAAACGATCCGTTTCCCAGGAATATACATAGCCATCAGGGTTGATAGTAGGCACAAATACAAAGTCGAATTGCTCCAGGAGTTTGGTAATGGCTTTTGATTTTGCGTAGGTTGTTATCAGAGAGTATGCCACGTAGTTCACGGTTGAGACGCTAATCCACTCTCTTGCATGCGTCCCACCGACAACAACAATGGTCTTTCGAGGTTTATCATCGTTGGCCGGGCGTACTCCCACTCGTAGAGCTGGAATGTCACGGCCTTCGAAGGAGGAGCCCACGCTTATCAATTGCACATGGGATGAGAACATGGACGCGAGCAAACGCATCCAAGGGACGATCACTGAAAACGGTTGATAATCTTGGAAAAATATATTCGTTACATCGTCGGAATGTTGAGTGGAAGGAGAGAAGCCTCGTGCGCCGTCTGATTCCCGCTGGGAGGCCGAAGGGTATGATTCGTATACGGTTTGAGCAAGATCATGTATTAGGGGGACGTGAGATGTTTGGAGGGGCTTTGGGAGTAATCCAAGGAGCGATGGAACCTGCATTGCATGTTCAATTAGCATAGATTCATTTTATCTTGTTCAAAGGTTGGGAACTCTGGTGGTTCCTTACCACATCCTTGGCCAGTCTAATATCCACCCACTCGTCGGTGGAGGACCAGATATCTAAGAAAAGTATATTCGAAGCCTCGACCAGCGCCTTGACTTGGGTTTCGTCCTGTATTGAGAATCGTAGGACGACGTCATCGCCGTATCTTGCTCGTAAGGATGGAGGCGCAGAGGAGAGGGAGGATTGGTGTCTATCTGCGGGTTTTCGGTTGCGATGTTGCGGCGGGACTCCCCACACGGTCTCTATGAGTGAATTGCGTACCCGGGTCCATAGCCCCGGGGCAGTCTGTGGCTGGGTTTGCAAGAATAGGGAGACTGGTTCGGCTGGATGGGGAGGATAGCTGTTGCTGGAGAATGAGGGAACGGCTGATGTAGGAATTGCGAGGGCTAAGATAGCCAACACGGCGCCATGGGCAAGGTGACGCATTGCCGGTGTCGGGTAGCGGGATCACCTCATGCCACTCGTAGTATTGGAATAACAATGGTAGCAAAGAAGAGAAATGAAAGATGTGAGATATCTCAAGTTGCTGTGGCTGAGGCGGACAAAGGCGGTGGTTGCGATGGGTTTCCCGGCTGCCTGCTGGATATTGATACGTCATGCTTGGCGCTGGGCGGAGACACAGACCGCATCTGATATTGGAGCCACATGGACTTGACTTGCTATATTTAACTACATGGAGCAGGGATCTAGGACAATAATCCAGTGGACCTCTACGAGCAAAGGAGAAAGGGTAATAAAAAAAGAAAAAAGAAAAAAAGCAAATCTCCCCGACAGGGAATCGAACCCTGGTCTCCCGCGCTTCTCACAGAATGACAAGCGGAAATCATCACCACTAGACCATCGAGGATGTATTTGATGGGAGGACTTTTGTCTGAGCTGAATATTAACAAGTAGCCCGCTACACTACCAAATCCCCCCCTTTTCGAGCCCACGGCTACAACGACCAAGCACGGCACATCCATCTCTCGGGATATTCCTGTTGTCGAATCACTCAGTAATCTAACTAGGTAATTGCCCCACGATTTCTAGAGTGACCCACAAACTCATATGTATCCATGTTACGCTCCTCTCGTTTAGTTCGTTAACAGATATATATTTGTAGGTTCCTCTCAATACATATCAGTTGTGCTGCTTCAAATTTGTTTAACATCTGTCCCCACCCCCCCAGCCCACTACATCTTCTAATAACTATACGCTGGGCTATAAATATCCTAGAATGGGTATACTTCACAATCAACTGCCCACGTGCTGTGAAACGAGAATCCGGCCAAGAATCATCTGGTCTACCAGACATGAACATATCAAAAGCACTATCCTCTAGCGGCAAACAAACAACGCAACTTCGCCCGGGAAAGTAATGTGCATGCATGGCCTTCAGAGAGAATGGCTCTAGAGAATGCTTACCCTGCGCCAATGTCTTGCCCGGGAGGAAAGAACGTTTTCCCAAATTCAGACGGGAAACTAACTGGTTATCACATAGGCCTGTGCCTGGCTATCGGCCTCCTTGCCCTCATCCACTGCCCCGGATAGCGAATTCTGAGCTGTCTAATGAACCAATTCCCGATGCTGAAGCCCGGAGTAAAGTCAAGAGACAGATATCATTGCCCAGAAATCTCTTCCCCCGTATTTTCCTCCCCACCCCCGTCCTTGTCCAAAGTCTCCTCATCCCTCTTCCTAAGCTCGTCCAGAAACGTCTCCAATACCCGGACTACCGCATAGAGAGCCATGACAGCGCGCATTTGATCCTCAAGGCCCTTGATGGCATCCTCACCATCCCGCTGCTTCCAAGCCTTCGCAACAGCTTCATCCCCCTCCCATTTATTCTTCCACACATCCATATCCGCTCGTACCTGGTTGATTTTCCCCACAAGCTGCTCCCTGCTAGGCTGATTGATGATACCGTCCCTGCTAAGCAGCAGCTTCATCCCCGCGCTTCCATGATTTTCAGGCCTCAGGCCGATCAGCAGATAAGGCCAGTTTTCCGGGTATAGCTGCTTCATCGGGTAGCCTTCGGCTTGGTATAGTTTGTAGTATATTTCCGGTTTGGTATCCTTTGTCCGTATCCCGCCAGGCCAGACTTCGAAACGGAGAGTCTTCATCGGACGACCGGCTGATGCGTGTGAGTGGATTGGGAGTTGTGGGTTGATGATATCCTTGACATCAGCCAATGGTAGACTCCTTCGGTCCTTGCGGATTTCCCCCTTCTCGTCGAAATCTAGACACCAGAATACGCCGAGAAGTAATTTTGGTAGTTTTTCCCTGCCCTTCACTTCCGTAAGCGCTTTAAGGGCATAAACTTGCTCGTCACATTGTTTGCGATGAAAGGGCGGCAGGTTCCGGGACGTGAGGGCTTCTAGTGGCAGATAACCGGTAAAGGGCGGGAAGTGCTCTGGGTCTATCTGGAAACACCCATCCATCCAATACTGCCCCTCTCGGTCCGTTTCTGGTGCTTCAACGAGGTCCGTGGGTAACGGTGGAGCTTTTTTATTAGGCGGCGGCTGCTTTGACTTCTTCTTGTGAGAGCGCTGACCCTTTTTCTTCCCCATGCTTCCGTAAACTCGATAATCCTAATGGCAGGACAAATTTAGCCCGTTTGTGAAAGAATGATAGGAGGTTATGCAAAGACATACCCACTGTAGAGTCTAGGACTATTCCTAGACAAACCTCCAACGATACCTTCGGATGAAGTTGGCGTTAGTAGGTAAAATCGTCTTCGAATCTAGGAACACTTGTTGGCGTAACAAGATGGAACTGGAGGGCCTGAGAATTCGGCTTTTGATATGAGATGAGGGGGAGATGAAGCAAGTGATGGAGCTCAAATCTTGCCAGTGGTGAGGATTTGGTGTTTGATTTGAGGGCCTCTTAACCGGCAGATGCGGCGAGGTGAAGCCAAATGGCAAAGGTATGAGCTAGATTTCCGGGTATCCTAGCAACGATGAGGTCGGCGAGTATAAGAAAAAATAGTCATAGGAGCTGCAACACTTCATGAGTGAAGGAAGATAAAGATGAAAGCAGCCAGAGTCCGTCAAGAAAAGGCATCTTGACCAAATTCGTGATAACACAGTTGCATGGAAGTGAAGCAAAGAAAGGAATAGAAACAGAAGTGAAACTATAACACGGGTATCCGCAAAACAGCTAAGTAAAGAAAGGACATTCTGCATGTACCTAGGGTCTTAGATCATGACTCTCTGACTTTGGCTTTCTTGCGGGAGATGCCCGAGGTGCCAAGCAAATCCGCCCCGGCCATGGCATTCCGCCAGCCTATCCTCAAACACGCGGAGCGGAAACAAAATAGTCACTGCCGGAGATTAGTGGTGGAGTTAAAACTGAATTTGATTTGTCCTTCTCTCCTGCATTCCAAAAACCACCATGAGCAGAAATCGTCTGGGGCTGGCTGAATATATGCCTGGCGTCTCCAGGGAAATATCCCACATCCCAATTGGTTCACCTGCAACGGCCACAGCGCTAAGACTCTTTGTTTCGTTCTTCAACGGGTTGATAGCGCTCTCCGGGATTGTTTGAGAGCCCCGTTATTTCTTTGTTCGGTATAGATACCCTATCAGGATTGATTATCAGCAGATGGAATGACTTCTTCTGCTCCTTAAGCAGAAACTGATTTTAAGCCTGCATGCATGCAAATGGATTTTTTATCCAATCTGAATTCGCGCATGAACATGGGCAGTTTTTATTTCTTTTTTCTTCCTTTCTTCCAGCAAATTGACTTGTTTGGACCACAAACAAAATTGATGCTCCTGCGGGGTGTAACACGGGCACGAACCCCCCTGCATTGCTTGTTTTCCTCCTCCAGTCAGCCATGCAATATTGCTCTGTGGGCTGGAGGGACAATCACAATCCAATTATCTTGTAAGCCAATTGTATGCAGTTATTGCCGGATCCCATGGCCATTGTATGTTTGTTTGGTAACTTGTCTTCCCCCCTGTTTCATCAACACCAACAACGGTCATAACTGGAATATGAGAAATAGCCATGGGAAAGACACCCAGCGGGGAAAATTGCAAGGGCCTTCCGCATTCTTTCGTTTTTCTCCTTCGCTTCCATTGGGACAGCAGCGAATAGTAGTCCGAGGAATGGTTGGTGTCATGCAGCCCAGTGGGACTTAAGGCCGCCATGCTGCTTGGCTGTCCCGAGCGTAATAACCGCCCAGAGGCTCTTTTCTCGGGACGAATTGACAGCTTGACAAGGTGACATTCGCTGAAGGTTCCTTGGCTTTGCAGAACCGTGTGTCTTTAAATGGGCCCAGTGACAGGCGGGAGGGAGTCCCACGCATCGAGCTGAACGACCCCAGCATGCACAGCAGTTGAACAAGGATAACCAGCCCCCAGACCAGACGGCAGTCCGCAGCCTGACAGCCCACAGGACAGACGGTGCAACCCAGCAGTCATCCAGCAGTCGTCCAGCAGCAGTGTCCAGCAAGCGAGCAGATACGAGACTGGAGACGGCAGGGCTAGCCGCTAGTGCCAGAGCGGGCTAGCGTCCAGACTTTAGGGAGCTGGGGTCTGGCTTACGTTTCTCCGAGAAACTCAATCCAACCTCATCATCAACGTCCACTCCAGATCTATCTATCTATCTCTCCACTCCACCTCCGCTTGCACCGCCATCCCCCCCTCCCCCTCCTCTCAGCACACCCCGGAACACCCTCAACTCAGTGCTCTATCTGCCGCTGCTTCTGCCGGTTGTTTGCGCTTCCTGCCATGCCATTCGCTTGATCACCCAGCTCGCCCTATTGCCAACCCCATGTCCCTATACCGCGGCAGTGCACATCCACCTTGGCCCACGCCAGAGATTCTATGAGGATAGTGTTGGAGAGCGTACCAGGCATGGTCTAGCGGTCTGCTCCTGCATCGCATGCCATGACCCGTTGAGATGCCTAAACCTGCCTACACGATGCCATGGAAGGGGTTTCGCTTTGGCACCACCAGCTCTGATGGCCGCGAGTCACATCTCACCAGCCCGGATCCCCCGCCCTTGCGGCACAGTGAACAGATTCCTCGCTCGACCTTTTCGATGGGTCAACTGATTCCCCGTATTTCCGAGTCTACTTCCCATTCACCGCTGGCCGGAGAATGCCAGACAGCTGAACTTTCCCCGCCCTCTCGTTCCCCAGCGGGGCCCGGGGGACACACAGACCACACGCCCAAGCAGCAGAACGCCAAACGCAATAGATTCAGCTTGATGAGGTTCAGACATGCCTCTGATCCTCAGCTATCGGCCTCGTTCAACCAAGCAGACTGCCCACCCGTTCCTTCGTTACCCCCTCGTAAGTGTATTTGTTTGCCTGAATTCCATTTCCGGTTTGGTACATACATCGTGTCAATGCTTATATTTGCTTTTGCCGCGTAGCTCCCACTATCGTCACTACCTCACCTACTTTCAATAACGGGAATGGCTCTCCGAAACGGAAGAATAAATTTAAACCATCTTCCGGGAAACCCGTCCTACAACATGCTGCAACCGACTCGTTCAACAGCCACAAGTCGAATCCTTCCGATGCTTCCAATGGAGGGTCTCCTCGACATGTCCCCGGAGTCAGTAGCTCCCCGACTGCACCGTCCAGCCTGAAAGCCTCTCACATAAGTTTTGAAGAGCCCGGGAGACTATCAACTACCTCAATAAGGAGTGGCGGTGCTGTTCGTGGGCCTGGCGATGGGAGTGTCCCGCTAGGTACACGGCTTTCAGAATCTTCTAGGTCAGATGGGAGCTCTGCTGAACATGGAGTCTATGCGAAGAATGGGGCTGCGTCTAGTACGGGTTCCCTATTTCGCCTTCCGCGGTTGAAACGCAGTCGTAGCCCTCTGTTCCCGTTACCTGTAAAAATCCCACATCCAG